CACTGTTCCCATCCCCCAGTTCCCCAATAAAAAAATAAAAAAGAAATAAATAAAGGGCAAATGAGTTGCCATGTGCCCGTTTTTTAGTAAATGATTTGGAGAAAGTTATTAACTTGCCTCCAAGCCTAACGTTATCTGCATAGGTATCAAAGAAAAAATATTTTGGTTTTTTTTTTTTACATCATCTATTCATTTCAGTTCTTGTACTATGCTAACAATATTCTTCTTCATCTTTTTTTATGTCTCATCAAGTTTGAGCCAATTCTCAGCTATGATAACCAGACTAAGACCTGTTTCTCCTTGGTGCCAGCTTCTTGTTGAGGCAGGTTAATGAAGATCTGTGGGTTCTCCACTCATTAGGAATTTGTTTGGGCGTTGACAACGCTTCACTGCTCATTATGATTCCTGTGCTGCTGCTGATTCCGCTTGGACGTGGACTTCCCCAGCCAGGCCGCTTTCCTCCTCTGAGTACTAGTTAAGCATTCACTCACAGGCCTCCCCAGAACGCCAATTCCTTGCTGGAATGCAGGACATGCTTTCTCCCTGTTCCCGTTGATTTTTTCACAGTCAAGATTACTCACCGCAGCTGAAGACTGAATAACAATAGATGGGAAACTGTTTCCACATTTTTCCATAGAACATAGCCCCAGCTGCTTTGCAGCCAGCATTGATAAAGGACGAGTCAGATGAACAACAACTTTCTAGCAATCATTAGAGCCGGACTGGGCACTACGCAACACACAGAGCCTGACACCACCTTTTCTAGCATATCATGTTTGTTAACACACAATTTGTTCAAAGAACTTAGAAATACAATTTGGCAGAACTGAAATTAAGAAAAAACAACTTTGGAAAATGTTTAGTATTCTAATGATGATTAGCCAGCATAATTAAAGTCCTGCCAACATTTGTGACCTACTCCCTGCCATGAAGATGAAACTGATTTTTTTTATAAAATTGTATTTCCTTTTTGCTATAAATAATCGGCTGTCTTTTACAGTTCTTCTTAAGCTTACATGTGATCTCTATAACTAGATAACCAACTCTAAGGGTTCCATTCTCTCTTTCTCCTTGTCCCCTCCTTTTGTGCCCTCCCACATTCCCTTTTCTAGGCTGCCAGTATTTTTACTGTAACATGTGTCCCCTTAGGTATATTCCCAGCTTTTTAATTTCAAGTCATAATTTGACTTTTTATTGCACATGGAAACTGAAGTAAAAAAATCCTTTCCATTTATGAATCACAAATTTGCTGACTTACTATAATCCCAAAGTAAAAGTGACTGTTGTTTAATTTATCTTGTGCTACTTTATAATAAGGTAAAGAAAGAAGCCTCCAATTCAACAGATAAAATATTTTAATTACTAACAATTTTTAGGATTCCAATCAATTAGTAGAAAAGAGAACTTTCCCTCAGCTCATTTAAAAAGCATATTTAAAAGAAAAGAAAAAAAGACATCATCTCTAGTAAACTTGAAACTCCAGGAAAATACTTCTATACTTGTAAATATTTTACGTGTTTTGTAACGATTGCCTGACCTGTTGGCATGAATTTCCCTTGTTCCAGAAAAGATCAGTAATAAAATTATAGAAAAGTTTAATATTTTTATTTCTTATTTTAGATCATTTGGGAGACATTTCAGAAGGCGTTGGGAAACGTTCAATTCTGCACGCCTGCTTCCTCCAAGTTTCCATCCACATCGACTAGATATAAACCAGTGTCATGGAAAGCACACCACACACGCACCCACAGATTCCTTCCCAGTGTTTAGATGTGAAATGCACCTCAAGGTCCCGAGCCATTTTTCATCCCTTCCGCTGCGAAACGGGGTGATAGCTGTGTCTGAGGCAGCGATGGAACATGGGCGATGGGAAAACACGGCTCAGAACCGCGCAGGATTCTTGTGGAAGCTGCTTATGCTGGGCTCTCTCCACTCGCCAGCCCTGCTGGGACGATGCACTGAGAAAAGACTCGCTCTCCCCAGAACGCCTCTCAGCGGTTCCTAGCTGGGAAAATGTTGCCCCGGGTTTACAATACACGCCCAGGCAGCCCGGCGCGGGTGAAACGCTTTCTCACTGCCCTGTGCCCCCTGCGGGCGCTCCTCGCCCTCTGCTGCCAGAACCTCGGGGATGTGCCCAGACCCGGCGCTGCGCACATCCCGGCCAACCCCCAGCCGAACAAACCCTTGGCCCGCGGCCAGCAGGCTCCCTCGCAGCCACCGCCT